ATGTTCATAAGATTGAGGTACAAAGAAATATATTCATCAGATTTGAAACAAAAAAGATCCAAGGAATCTATTTACTGTGCCAGATAAGCGAAAATTATTACTAGAGAGACGAGGATTATTGCACCTAGCTGCTTGAATATATCATTCATCAGAGGAACAAATAAGTCAAATTCTCCATTAAATCAATTTTTTGGTTTATAAAACTCCAGTAAATCAATTTTTTGGTTTATAAAACTTCACTTTTGAAGGAAAAGAAAGACTTCTATCCTCATTTCTGCTTTTCTTTTACAATGTATGCAAGAAAAATTACGGAAACAGCAGCCAATCTCTAAACCTAGCATGTAGACATCCTTGCTGTGCAACATTGGTCCCCGAAGTTAAAGACTTAGGCCAAGTACCTGAGACTCTGCTATCGTAAGAAACCATGGGTAGTATCATCGGTTGCATCACTAGATTCCGAGGTTCAGCACAAGTGGTGGCAGCACCTCCATGAAATAATTCGAAAAACTTTATTCAGTACAGAGCAAGGAAAAAGATGTATAAATCTAGAGTCAAATATCACAGAAAACTAGAGTTGAAAACCAAAGGGCTAGATGAACTTGAAATTCTTTAAGGCGTTCGCCAGAATATAGTATATTTGACAAAACAGACTCAGGTGACAATGAAAAGTTTGGCCCCAGCCAACCTTTCTCCCCGCTTTGTTTGCTATCAAACCAAAAAGAAGTTTCCCCAGGGCTATGACCTACCTTAGTTTCACTTCTTTTTCTCTTTAATCAAATAACAGCATCTAGGTTCTGAATTACCTAAAATATCAACTTTTTCTTATATTGGCAAGACACAGGAACTTCATTTAAAGGAAATGCCACCACAGTAGACAGGAACTGAATTGCCATCATCCGGAAGATTCATAATAATAAATGACATTCAGCGCCTCAAATAAAATCCTTCTCGAGTTTATTGAAAGAGAATTGATAAAATCATATATCCCTTGTAGCAGGAAAAATGATAAGGAGACACACATATCCTCAATTTACATGATTCATTGCTATTATCTATTCATGATAGACAGTATATACATTACATACAGGGAACTGTCACATTGAAGTAATATTAATTACTTGACGAGCTGGGAGTTAATCTACAAATGTATAGAAAGAAATGTAGAAGTAAAAAATATGGTAGCAACCAATGTTGTATGTTATGTTTTTTAACACCCAATAAAAATCAAACCTTATACTGCAAAACCCGAGGATCAAAATCTTTCCACATATCTGATAATGTTTTCAGAAATCCAGATTTCTGCATATCGTCTCTTTCCTGCAGGAACACAAGATTCATCACGATTTTGTATATCAATCTTATTCTAATTCAATTATCCAGCTAAGAGTGAGTCAACAAAATAATATAACTATGCATACAAGCATGTGGTCGAGGAAGCGAAGAGCTCTCAACCTCGTGTCATCTCGAAAAGATAGAGAACCTGCCCAAAAAGGAATTTGAATCTTAAAAAGTTAAAGAAATATGTCATTGTCAAACATACAAAAAAAGCATATGAAGTTCATCTAAGTTGTAATTGACCGAAAAAACATGTCCTTCTTCATTTTTTTTGCAAGTAAAGAATATTAACTCCAAAGGAAAATCTAAAAGAAGCCTGTCTAAGCCCACTTCGGTAGAAGTACACATGGCCAATCACCCCACTTCAAGCCAAAATGCTTCTTCGAACCGTAATTACCAAGAACCCACCCTATAGACAATTATTAAGAAGAGAAACCAAAGAGAGGACCTCTGTTCTCATGGTTAATAGGACATCTCTCCTTGGGGTTATGAGGACCTTCAAGATGGACAAGCAATAACCCAAGAATCTGTCCATCAATTCAAAAAATACCATTTCCCTCCACTTAGCAAACGGCCCAATTCCCTAAAAAACCCCCAACTTTAGCATTTGTCCCAATTATATCCCAAAATTTTTTTTATCTCATAAAAAACCTCAAACTTTTACTTTTGTCCCAAATCTACCCAGTTAACTTTTCGTCCAATTTTTTAATATTATTTTTTTATTTTTTCGAATTTTTTTATTTTCTTTTCTTTTTCCTTTCCTTTTCTTTCTTTTTTTGTTTCACCTTCTGGCCGGTCGCCGGTTCGGCGACCGGCCAGAGGCGGGGGCCGGCGAGGCTCGGCCCCGCCGGCCGCTGGCGAGGCTCGGCCTCGCCGTTCGGGTGAGGCCGAGCTCTCCGGCCGGCGGGGCGAGCCTCGCCACCCACGGCGAGGCTCGGCCCGCCGGCTATTGGCGAGGTCGGCCTCGCCCAACGCCGGCGAGGCCGAGCCTCGCCAACGGCCGGCGTGGCCGAGTTCTCGCTAGATCTAGCGAGGTCGGCCTCGCCTAGCAACGGCGAGGTCGGCCTCGCCTAGCAACGGCGAGGTTCAGCCTCAGCCGACCTCGCCGGTGCTGGGCGAGGCCGACCTCGCCAGTTGCCGGCGGGGCCGAGCCTCGCCAGATCGGGCGAGAACTCGGCCACGCCCGGCCGCCGGGCGAGGCCGACGTTGGCGAGGTCGACTCGCCCCCAAGAACGGCGAGGCCGAGCCTCGCCCGGCCGACGGGGCCGAGCCTCACCACCACGGTGAGGCTCGGCCCCGCGGCTATTGGTGAGGTCGGCCTCGCCAGCGGCCGGCGGGGCCGAGCCTCGCCGGCCCCCGCCTCTGGCCGGTCGCCGGACCGGCCAGAAGGTGAAACAAAAAAAAAAAGGAAAGGAAAGGAAAAAGAAAAGAAAAAATAAAAATTCGAAAAAATAAAAAATAATATTAAAAAATTGAACGAAAAGTTAACTGGGTAGATTTGGGACAAAAGTAAAAGTTTGAGGTTTTTTATGAGACAAAAAAAAATTTGGGATATAATTAGGACAAAGGCTAAAGTTTGGGGTTTTTTAGGGAATTGAGCCGTTAGCAAACAGAATATGAACAAAACATCAACAGGCTCACACACTTCAATCGATCAATCGAAATTTGGGAGTTTAATTTCGTTCATGCAATTCGATATTTCCCACCGCTTCCTAATGAATCTAGGGATTCATTGATTAAGGTTAATGATTACTAACCCCGACTTGTGTTCGCAAAGCAATAGGCTAATGTCATTAACCCCTAATTGAATTCGAATCCCCCCACCTAGCTGAACCGCCGAAGGACATGCGTACACGTAATTAAAAGGCACTCGAAACATGGGAAAAGTGCAAAAAAAGTCATAAACCTTTTGCATTAGTGCCAATTTAGTCCTAAACCTTTTTTTGGTGCCAATTCAGTTCTAAACCTTTTGCATTGGTGCCAATTTAGTCCTAAACCTTTTTTTGGTGCCAATTCAGTCCTAAACCTTTTGTTTTTGTGTCAATTTAGTCCTTCCGGCCAATTTTAACCGGAATTTGCCGACGTAGACACCTGCCGGCCGGCGGCCGGTCACCGGCGCCGACGTGGACAACTTTAATAATATTTTAATATTTTTTTGAATTTTTATTTTTTTTCCTTTTTTTTCTTTTTTTTTGTACTTTTTTTTTTTGTCTCTCTCCCGCCTTCCTCTAGATCGGCGACCGGCCAGAGGCCGGCGAGCTCGACCTCGCCGGCCACTGGAGAGGGCGGCCTCGCCGCGGCCTCCGGCGAGGTCGCCGGGCGAGGCTCGACCTCGCCGGATCTGGCGAGGTCGAGCCTCGCCCGACCAAGGCGAGGCTCGAGCCCTCGCCGGATCGGCGAGGTCGAGCCTCGCCCGACCAAGGCGAGGCTCGAGCCCTCGCCGCGGCCTCCGGCAAGGGCTCGAGCCTTGCCTTGGTCGGGCGAGGCTCGACCTCGCCGACCGGCAAGGTCGGGCCTCGCCCAGCCGACCTCGCCGGATCTGGCGAGGTCGGGCCTCGCCCAGAGACATCGCCGGATCTGGCGAGGTCGGGCCTCGCCCAGCGACCTCGCCCGACCAAGGCGAGGCTCGCCCTCGCCGCGGCCTCCGGCGAGGGCTCGAGCTTCGCCCAACCAAGGCGAAGCTCGCCCTCGCCGCGGCCTCCGGCGAGGTCGCTGGGCGAGGCTTGACCTCGCCGGATCCGCCGAGGTCGAGCCTCACCCGACCAAGGCGAGGCTCGCCCTCGCCGCGGCCTCCGGCGAGGGCTCGAGCCTCGCCCGCGACCTCGCCGGAGGCCACGGCGAGGCCGCCCTCGCCAGTGGCCGGCAAGGTCGAGCTCGCCGGCCTCTGGCCTCTGGCCGGTCGCCGAACCGGCGACCGGCCAGAGGAAGGAGGGAGAGAGACCAAAAAAAAAAAGTGGAAAAAAAAAAGAAAAAAAAGGCAAAAAAAATAAAAATTCAAAAAAATATTAAAATATTATTAAAGTTGTCCACGTCGGCGCCGGTGACGGGCCGCTAGCCGGCAGGCGTCCACGTCGGCAAATTCCAGTCAAAATTGGCCGGAAGGACTAAATTGGCACAAAAACAAAAGGTTTAGGACCGAATTGGCACCAATTTAAAAGGTTTAGGACTTAATTGGCACCAAAAAATGGTTTATGACTAAATTGGCATTAATGCAAAAGGTTTAGGACTGAATTGGCATCAAAAAAAAGGTTTAGGACTAAATTGTCACTAATACAAAAGGTTTAGGACTTTTTTGGCACTTTTCCCCTCGAAACATCTATGAGTAAGGACAACTAAACATTTTAATTTAAACACACAAGTCAACCAGCGACCAACCAGGCAGAGATATGAATTACGCTAAGAAAACTAGCAGTAGCATTTCCCTAACCAATTTTTTAATTTTTTTACGTTTTCAGTTTTTCTGAATTTTTTAATATTTTTTATTAATATTAATAATAAATATTTTTTATTTTTTATTTTGATCGTTTGCCTATGAATAGCACTAGATCATGTACTGTTCATAAAAACTGTTCAAGAACACAACTCTTCAAGGATCACAACGGTTTAAAACAACTTCTTCGTAACTTTATCTTCACCGACAATCAAATTTCCCCAACAGACTCTTCCTAATCGGACAACTCGACTACTTCCACCTTCTTCATCACAAATTCGAAGACCATCTTTCTATTAGCTCTGCTACTCTTCCGGTACCTGTCTACCACGTACAGTCCATCGTATTTGAACGTGTCATCCCAATCCTTACGGATCACTCTCACTGGCTTGCTCCTCTTCATGCTATTCGCTAGAGCTAAGTTCCCTCGAGTGAGCTTCTGATCTTCAGCCTCGTTGACATGGCTAGGCATTCCACCCTCGCCCAAATAAACCAGCTCGTTAGGATCTGTCAGATCATCTGCATAATCCCAGGAAGCGACAACGCTCGTGGCTAGGATGTCTGGGTGAGGTCCCATGTAATCGATGCCATTCTGAGGAGGACGATGGAGCCCAACAACAGCGAGTTCCATCCTATAATAGAATTTGTCCCCGACTTCCACCCCCGGAACTTCTCCGATAAACTGCCTATGGCCGTGGACGTAACCCACTCTCTTCTTCACCTCTTTTGCCGCATGAAAATCTACCCTTCTAATGCACCTGCTCTCTTTACCCGCTTGTAATTTTTCCCGCTCAAGCAGGCGACAGATATCTCTGTACAGCGTTAGAGTAGTGATCACTTTCTCTCTTTCCGAATGAGGTCCGTCGTCGCGGGTAAAATTCGCATTTCCGCATCCTGGAGGGAGATCTCGACTAGGCAACGGGCGATTCCCTGGGTGAGGATCTGTTTTCATAATCCTCAGGAGATCACTGCTTTTAGACCAATCAAAATGTGATTGGCCTTGCGAAACACAGTTTTCCTCATTCCCAGAATGGTCTGCTTGTTGATGCTCTGCAAGGCTTGGAAGAGGGTAGTGACGTCCGCATTCTGAACACGATCGATACCTCAGAATGCACGTGAAACTGGAGGAAGATCTCGAAGCCGGAAAAATACTTCGGACAGAAGACTTGTTCCTAGGCATGGCCTTGTTTGACAAGACAGGGCCTCCGGGTGATGGCCGACGGCGGATATCAGTAATGGTGGTTTCACCGATCCTTTGATCACTTCCAAGATTTCCTGCTGCAAAAACAGGGCCTCCAATGATGGCCGAGCCGAGCATGGCAGGAGATGATGTGGTGACGGCGACGACTGGCGGCCGACCAGCGACCAAAAAGGGCAAGAGAGTGAGCAGATGGTTAAAAAAAGAAGGCAGAGATCAACCTTTCTGTGTGTCCCTCACCCTCTCGTTCCCTCTACATATCCTCGCGCTCTTGCTGCGCTCTCCCTCCTTTTCTGCTCGACCGCTCGCTTTATCTCCTTGTGCGGGGGAATTGAATGGTGCAGAGAAGAGACCGGATTCCTCCAACCCTGCAGGTTCTCCGGTTTCTTCTCACGGGGCGTGCGCTTTCCCATCGTCGCTCATCTTCGGAGAGCGAGCGAGAGAGGCGGTAAGCCATAGAGAGATGGGCTGATCTTCTTCTATTCAATTGGGGCGTCTTTGTTCTTTGACTTGGATGGGCTTTTCCCTTACTGAGCTCAATGTAACTTCTCATCCGAATGGGCTACTTTTGGCCTCAACTTGTCTCTTCCATTCTGAAATTTGAACATGTTATTTTTGCGCATCCTGACCCGAGTGTAATGAGAAAATGACACAAATAGTCCTTGAAGTTTGGCCTAATATGCAATTTTAGAAATTTCATTCTAAAATTTAATATAGTTCAGGGACTAAATTGAACACGTACCGAAAGTTCAATGACCACATTGAACAAATTAAAAGCTCAGGGACCACATTGAACATTAGGTTAAAGTTCATGGACCACATTGCACATTTGGCCAAAGTTCAAGGACTACTTGTGTCATTATCCCAAGTGTAATCTTGTACCTAATTAAAATTCTCGATTTGTGATGAATCTATGTAGGTGTCCAATGGAGAGCCAAAGGGATCAGTTTTTTGTGTGCTAGATGTTGCCGATCTTAGGCACATTACAGGTTGATGATCATTTCGGAATTGTTAATCTGATAACCCCACTTTTTGCGGATCTTGATGAAGTTTGAAGTTACGTATTCAATCCTTATGTTCGAACCAGTCTGATTCAATTGGATAATTCCATCCTTTTCGCATGCAGACAAACTTAACGATCAGAATCCGATGCCACGATTATTCTAATGTAAAGTGACGTTAGTTCTATAGTTGACACAATAGATGGATATCAAATAAATTGATAATGTGCGATTCGGTTTGACGCGATTATATTATACATTCTACTGAATATGACAGGTGAGGAGCAATGTTGGCAGGTGACAATATTTCCAGAGTGGGAGTGGCTATCATCAACAACCACTGTTGAGTTATCAACTCCATTAGCCAAGATTTGGAAAGCAACCAGTAATGGCTTGGACATCCCACGCCACATCACATCAAAGCATGGATGAACCCTCGGCTATGTTCAAACAAATCATTTTCTCAAGTTATCACCTCGAGCTCTCAAAGTCTCCACAATAGTAGAAGATCATGCAAAAAAAGAAAAAATATTGTCCAGAAAGTCATAAACTTACAGTCACAAGCTTTTCGACTTTGCCAATTTAGTCCTAATTAACATTTTAATGATTTCTCAATACAGTCATTCTAATCTATTTTAACCACCGCTAGTGTCCTTTTAACCTTATAAATGTTTATGATGGTATGTATTATGTAATAACTAAGAGCAAAACGTTGTGAATATGGATATCATTCAATTACAACGGTTCATATTTTTTAAACTACAACTGTTTATAAAGGTTTACGGTGGACAGTGGTAATAATAAACAAAATGCCAAAAATTATGATAGTTTTGAATAATGACAATTCACGAAAAAATTGTGACAATTCTGTTGTAACCAAAAGCAGAACATCGTAAATTTGAATTTCCTTTTTGAAAATTACAACAATTTACAAACGTTTACAACAATAAACAAACGTGGTAAATTTTGATTTTTTTAATTACGATGGCTTATAAATGTTTGCGATGATCCATCACAATTCAAAACAAAACTTTGTAAATTTGGATTTTTTTTAATTATAATATTTTACAATATGTCTCGTCGTAACCAAGCAGGGAACATCGTATTAGGATTTTCTCAAATTACGATGTTTACAAAGGGTTACGGTAATTCACCGTAAATAAGAGCAAAAAATCCTAAATTTGGATTTTTTTTTTCCAATTTCGACCATTTACAAAGGATTATGATAGTAGGTCATAAACACTGACAAAATGTCATAATTATAATTTTTTCCAATTCTGACACTTTGCAAAGGTTTACGATAGTCTATCTTAACAAAACATCATAAATTTTCAATTTTTTTAATTAGAACAATTTCCCAATGTTACAACATTCCATCGCAACCAATAACTTAAAATCGTAAATCTAATTTTTTTTTAAATTATAACCGTTCCCAAATGTTTATAATGATATATCGTAATCAAGATCATAACATCGTAAAACATCAATAAATTTTATTTATCTTGTGTCAGACGTCCATTTTCTAGTGCGTGGGATATCCAACCTAGTGAAATAGTTGTCAACTTTCGACCAAAAAATAAAATAAAATAATTGTCAACCGGTTCAAATTCAATGACCGGGATCTTTTCATCTCAATCTAACGACTGACGTTTGTGGGGATACAACCCGCCATTATACCTTTGAAGTTCCCGTGGAAGATTAGTGTGGTATGGCATGAACTTATTAAAACTTGATCTAAAATTACTTGTTTGTCGTAACAAAAGAAGAAGAAAAGTTTTATGCTTTCAAAGCTTGGCTAGCTCACAATTTTAATTCCACAATCAGTATGGCACAAGGCTTTCAGAAGATTATGTGCAAATCAAGTACAAGCCTCAACTTTCGAAATGGTTCCCGCCTTCCTCGGAGTCCCTTGAAATTAACATCGATGGAGCATTCATAGCCTAAACATCCACCGGAGCGATCGCTCGAGTCTGCAGAGACGCCATCGGATTGTTAATCGGTGGGTTCGTCTGTGAGGTGAAGGCGCAATTTGCGCTGCATGCTGAAACCCTAGCTCTAATCGAAGGAATAGAGCTCGCGACCGTGTGGGAGAAGGAAAAGGGCAAAAGAGTTATAACTGTTGAGTCTGATTGCCTCATTTTAGTTCAGGCACTTCTAGGAGCTGATCACGTACCGTGGGAAGTTAATGTGCTTATCAAGAAAAGCCGGGCCACACTTTCTTCTTTGTCTCATTTAAGATTGACCCATTGTTACAGAGACCAAAACAAAACCGCGGGACTGGGTCGTCAAAACCCAACTCCGACAATCCCTCTCTTTGAATTGGATCTCAAGCCCTTCCAACCTTTGTTGGATGTTCTTTGCTCTGAAGCCCGTTTGGGTTGTTCTTCTGCACTATCTCTTAGAATTGAAATGAAATGAGGTTTTTTCCGATAAAAAAGAAGAAGTACAAAGCCACAGTTTTATAGCAGATGCATGCTTCAAAAGTTTACTATGTGAGCAACGTGAGACCATTGTCTTCTACGTATCTTACATTGACTTTGTCCGACGTCGATTAAAATGTGAAAGTTGGAGCTTGTTTGATTCTATAACACCCATTAATTAGACTATTCTTTCTTCTGAAAAGGTCAAAAATGGATGATTTGAAAAACATTTTCATAAAAAAATATGATCGTTTGCATCGCTTACAAAAAAGAATGAACGAAAAATCTTGTCATTGTCCACGAAAATTATTAGACATTAATTGTTGTCGATAATAAAAATATTTTTCATTGACTAATTATGTCGAGTAATAACGATTATTTTTAGGAAAATATTTTCCAAATGATTCATTTTCGTGAAACAAACGGAGCCTGAATATGATTAAAGAGTGTCTTGGGAGTACTCGTTAACTGGATTCTATCTATTCTTTCAATTCTTTACTGTGGATATCTTTTTATGTATCGGTCGGCTTTCTTGTAACAAAAAAAGAACCTTTTATATGCACCATTCTAGGTTAATTATTACCTATATAATGACTTTTCTTTTAAGATTTGAAATTCGAAAAAAAAATTGAAATTTTTTGTGGAGTGTGAAATGATTTGAAACACAACTTGAAAGGTCGGGTAAAATAACAGGTAAAGAGAGAAAAGGCCATAAGACATGAAGAAAACAAAAAAGACATGAAGAAAACAAAAATGATTTGTTTTTTTGCATCAATAAAAGGGTGGGATGGACGACTAAGACCGGCGACCTCTCAATGCATTATTATAAGGGTCTCATGCCCTCTACAAAATATTCGGCGTGAGCCATAACTATACTGCACGGTCCGAGATTGGCAAACCTATCACCGTAACCTCATCAAATTGTTACCAGCCATGAAATTTCTCCATACGGGATACGTCGTGATTAGGCAGCGTAGCATGAGCTGTTCAAAAAGTCCCTCGCAATATCAATCGAACTCGTGGCCTCATGAAGAATAAGGGCCCATTTGGCAACTTGTCAAACAGTGAAAATTTCTGTTCTTTTGTTCCCAGAATCAATTTGGGAACAGAAATCCGTTTGTTAAATTTTTTGTGCCCGAGCATAAATTTGTAAAAAATTATTCCCAGAATCAGTTTTGGAACAGAATCAAGAAGCAAAAAAAAGTAGCTTCTTAATTCTGGAACAATTTTTCCATCTCTGATTCTTCTTGATTTTCTTCTTTTTTCTTGATTTGTTGTTTTTCTTCTTCCCGGCCTGCCGCCGGCCATTGACCACAGGCCAGGGCCTGCGAGGGCGGCTCGCGGCCGCGACGGCGAGGCCTCGCCCAGCCATGGTGAGGCCGACCTCGCCAGCCCTGGCCTGTGGCCAGTCGCCGGCGCCGGCAACCGGCCATGGCCAAGGAAGGAAAGGAAAAAAAAGGAAATATTAAAAAATTCAAAATTTTATTAATAAAAAGAAATTTTGTGTAGTTACCAAACGTATTTCTGTTCTTTTTCTATTTTAAGAATAGAAATTTTGGGCAGTTACCAAACGCCTTCAAATGCTTAGAAATTGTTCCCCGGCAAGGAATAAAAAAAATTATTTCTGAACAAAATCAATTTTCGAGCACAGAATCATTACCACGCATACCTTAAGTGATCCTTTGTACCGTTAGGACCAATCATTTTGGGGGTAAGCGAAAAGCTACTTCGAAAAGTTTCACCCCACTCGACAACGTGCATTCCTAGGGCCTTTTCCCTCCGGTGCCATGGGCTTCACGTGACGAACCCTGTTTTTGTCCGCCGGATCTTTTAGATCGAGCACCGTTGCATCCGACGGCCGACATTGACTTTACT